TCAACTCCTTGTCTCGTTTCGGGTCATTTTCGTTCTCCATAACACTGGCCATATTGTTCTCGGACAGTTGTTTTTCACAGTAATGGTTGCAGCTTCAGCACCTGAAATAAAACCAATAACCTATCAACTTAAACTTTTAAATTCCTCGTGAATTGGTTTAATATTGTAAATTAGTTTTGAGATGGAACTTATAAATATTAATATAGTATCAAAGTCCAAAAATTCAAACGAGCATTTGATACAAAAATGAGATCTAGTCAAGATCGATATGTCAAACGTGCCACAATCTTAAAAGGTATGTTAAATATTTTGAAAAGATAAGGGACCTAACAAGGTTCATAATACACATGGACTACTCCTCTTATTACCAGTTTGTTTTTAGATGGATCCTATAAATATTAATATTAGAGATTTCTCAAATAACCCCAATGACTGAAGTTCAAATCCACACCTTCGCATATTGTTGAACTTGAAAATATATATATTATAATACACAATCAAATCACATATTGAACTTTGTGCTAATGTCAATCGGAACAGGACCTAACGGTTAAGACACATTTACGTTTAGGTTGAAGGTTCAGACCTCACCACGAGTATTGAATTAAAACAAAGGAAAAAAAATTGTGAAGAATAGACCTCAGAAACGTACCAAAATGGAGGCAAAAGAAGAAGAATAATGCTGCGAAGAGTGCTTGGTTTTCCATTTTTGAAAGCTTCGAAATTTGCTTAAGCTTTGGAAACTGATGAGTTATGAATGAAAAGCTAGATCCGCCATGGTATTTATCCTCAAAAGTTTGGAGCTCAGCCTAGGCTGCCGTGTTGGAAACAAATTTCACAGACCTCTTAGAAACTGACACGTTATTATTGGGAAGAAAAATGACGGTAATGTATCAATATTTGATTAGTTCTATTCTACATATTGACTTTTAAAAGTTTTATAGAATTAGAGAATTTATAAATTATTGGTATATCAATACAATCTTCGGTTATGTTTTTATATTCAATGTTTTTCAGTATTATTATTGCTTAGTACTCAATGGAGGCCGAGTGTAATTAATATCCTAATGATCGATAGCAAATTGTTTTCTTTTTATTTTATTAATTGAACAAAATATACTATATATATATTTTAAAATGATAACATGAAAATACCAAAAATAGTAATGTATTCTAGAAGAATACTAGGAAGAAGAAAATTAATTTTAAGACGTAAGTTACTTAAGTCAAAAAATGTAGGGAAGAAACAGTAAATATCATCATTAA